CGGTTAATTTTGTTGGCCAGCCCATCTTCTTTTATCTCCCGTTGTGTCTTGCAGGCAATGCATCAGGCAAAAGATTGTGGCGGTCAGCAAGGTGATGGAGGGAAGGAGCAGGCTTGGTGCCCGACAACGATTGGTCTTGATTGAAGGCCCGTTCAACCACGCTGTCACGTGGAAATTCTCGAAACGCACCTGCTGCTTGCGGCAGACCATGGAAATCACTTAACCAATTTTCTCATTTTTTTTATGGCAAATGAGGTGCAGATGTTGTCAGAGTTGCATTTACATAGGTATATTTGCTCTATCAGGGGCTTCGGCACCGTTTCCATTTATTTTACCTCAGGGACAGAGTTAGACACAAAGACAGTGAGCACTGTCGCAAAGCTGCAGCCGTGTTAGCTTTAGTTCAATGCATTCCAAGGGGTTGGAATTGGGCGAAACTAACGTTGCCCCAGCCAAGATGAGCTCCATCATTTTCGATCTCGTCAACCGCGCTAACACTGTCAAGTAGCAGGCAGTTGACACAATGATGATGAGGATTCGAGCCATAACGCTGTCTACAAGGACGCATATGACGACAGGGGTAAGCAAGAGAAATGTTATCAGCAACAACATCGCTACCTTGGCCGTCGCTTTGATGATGGGGCCGGAATAGATAAAAACTGTTGGGTTGGTTGACGTTTCAAAACCCGGACGCTTGATATCGTCAGCTTCAGCATGCTTGCGAGTAGGGGCGCGGGGACCTTGATTACCTCTCGAAACCCCTTGTAGTGCCGGATAAGCCAATCCTCAATCCATTCCTCAAGTTGTTTCATTGCTTGATCGTTGGGAGTGGCCAATGACACAAGGTCGTTTTCTCTTTCAAGATATACGGTTTCTTCTTCACTCAAACAACCGGCTTCTTCAAGCCAGTTGCGTAGGCTGGCGAGATCGCGCGCGTTTGCACGGCTGTAGCTCATCATTTGACGGCATTGCTTGACAAAGGAATCTTTATCATGAGTCAGACTTAGTTTTTGAAAGAACAGAGCAACACGAATACCGTATTCAGTCAGCTTTCTTTGGATACTGCTGAGGAGTGACGTTCGAGCGCTGTTGCGGTTGCCCCTGAAGGTTCCGAGGAAAAAAGGCGAAGTCTCGGCACTGTCCATATTGTCCAACTCTGTTTCAAGAAGATTGAGCTCATCTTGTTTGGCGAGAAGCAACCGTGCTCGCAGTCGCTGGAAGGACCGAAAGACGAAAAACGAGTCAGATGACGATATGAGCGCAGAATACTGCGGATAGCCTGCCGGATAGCTTTCGACTTATTTACCCCAGTCAGACATAGCTCTCGCCAATTGGGGATAGAGACCAACTTGAACTGCGAAACAACCCCTTCGCATCTAAGTTGCCACCATCGGCCTCTATATCAGCCAATTCGACCCCTGGCTCATGCGCTGCGCTGCTGCGCGAGGACCAGAATCTCCAATTGCTGGGCTTGAGTCGTTCCATTCCAACAGTCGAATCTACCAGGTGTCGGAGAGAAGGTGGCCGCACACGCCAAATTTGACTCCGGAAGGCATCCTCAAGGCTTTGTACCTCGTAGAACTAAACCCTCCGTACCCGACCGCAAAAACACGCACTTTGCCTCGACCACAATTCACAGTTCATCGGGCGACGTATCAACCTCAACGGTGCAGTGTTGTGGATCCTGCACACCTACCTCACCCAGCTTGCAGGTAGGTTGCCTTACTCAGGCCGACGAGGAGTGGGGGTGGACACCGCCCGCAGGTAAAAACTTGAAGTGAGGCGGCAGAAATGCGCTGCCCCAAGTCTTCACACCAACTCAATCTTCCAATCAACTCTGTGGCCACACCCATATATTCTCACGCCCCGCGCACTTCCAGTTGAGTTGCGATGTCTTTTTCCAAACACTCATCAGCACAGAAACCATGCCAGGATCAAAACGGTTCGTTCCGCTCCGCCTACCCGAAGCCTTGCCTGTCGTAGAGCTAACCTCGGTCTCTTGACGTTCAAATGATAGCCAAAAGCCCATTGCCACACACAGTGGCAGCGATTCGGAGTCCGATCATCGCGCCAAGGTGGTCAAGTCATCCAAAAAGCCAAAGTTCAAGCTTGGGCATAAGGTGCGGATTCTGGGGGAAGATGGGTCTGCTCAAGCGGGGCCATACAAGATCGAGACCGTCGTACCCCCTTCCTCGAGCACTTCGGGCTACGGATATACGCTATGCGACATTGGATCCAGTCTCACGGTGTGGGAGGGGGCGATTTTTTTGGAGCGGCAGCTTGTGAAAACTAGCTCATGAGCCCTCTGGGGGTGGCCAAGAAGACAGTCGGTCAGAGTGATAGGGCAAATGCCAGGGGCGCGGCCCATCCATGCTGTGCAACCATCCCATCCGTGTTGTCCGCCTCGCTCTTTCCTCACCCCCGCACCACTGAAGCCGCCTCACATCAAAGTGCAGTAACGTCATTCGATGAAAAACTCCCGTCTTCCATGCAGCGCTCAGCGCTCCTGCCATCGATTCCTGAGACGCATGGATCCAGTAAAATCCCAGATGGCAACCGAAAACAAGGCTCGGCGCCATGCCATTTTGGTCGGCATAAACTCCCACGACTCCGAGTCCGGGCCAGGCCTGAAAGGATGCGTCTGCGACGTCGAAGAAATCACCAAGCAGTTGGAGCAGTCGAGTGCCCACCACGTTTCCATCCACAGGCTCACCGCAACTCTCAGACCAGACTCATCACAGCCTGTTGAGCCGAAAGGACAGTGGCCAACATACGACAACATTTGCTCATGTCTCTCGAAAGTTACCGAGGCCTGTCGCCACGGCGATTTCGTGTACATTCACTTCTCCGGGCACAGCACGGTAGTGCCACCGATCCATTCGTACTCGAACTGGGACACTGGAGACTTGGCGCTTGTTGTGCTGGACGGGGAGGACGGGGCGAACGGTGAGGAACGCTATCTTCACGGTTCCGAGGTAGCCGGGCACCTCCGAAACATGGTTGACAAGGGAATCGGCGTCACCATGGTGCTGGATTGTTGCTATTCTGGCAGCACCCTTCGGGGCGAGGATGTGGTCCGCTACATTCCCTATCGTCCCGAAATCGACAGGAAGTACCTCCCCAAGGCCGAAAAGGAAAATCCGCAGCAGCTGTTATATCAATCCGCCTCGCGGGCATCGCGAAAGACATCGCTTGTGCCGACTTGGTTGGCCGAACCTGAAGGGTACACCATCTTGACCGCGAGTGACGCAACCGAAAGGGCTTACGACGTGAAGTTCAAGGACGGCTCACGACATGGGACGCTGACATACTTTCTCCTGGAGACGTTTGACGAACTCGGCGCCGTGGGTGGCCACATGCACCAACTCACCGAGTCTATTCGCGCCAGAATCATGGCCCATCGCCGCAACCACCAGACCCGGATCCAGAACCCCGTGCTTTTCGGCAACAAAGCTCAACTCTTCTTCGGACTTGCGGGGCCCATGTCGATGTGCTTGGGCAGCATCCCGATTACCCTTACCGGTCATTTCATTAAACTTCATGCCGGTGCGGCGCACGGCATCTCTCATGGAGATCAGTTTATCCTCCGACCGCTCTCCTCACAGGACGCCAATGGACTATTCATGGCAGAAGCAATCGCCGTGCGAGGTCTCACATCCGACTTGCGTATCACTGGCCCAGGCTCAAACCACGGCTTGGAAGTAGAAAGTGGATGGCTTGCAAGAACAACAACACGTCTGTCTCTCAAACAGTTCCCAATCCGACTACTCATCAACCGAGAGAGGCGGTCAGAGTGGGACAAAGCACTCAAACTGCAGTGTCCATCCCTGGCAGAATGTGGCGGAGAAGCATGTCCGTCATTCACCGTTACTCAAACAACTGAAGATACCACAACAGGGTACTCCATCTACGACAACAAGGATCAACTCATCACAAATATCAAACCTACTTCAACTCAGCCGAGCACCACCGAGAAAGCCCTCCGCCAACTCCAACACCTTGCTACATTCGCCCTCATCCGCACTATCTCCAACCTCGCCACTGACCCGGGAACCCTCCTCTTCAAAAGCTCCTTCACCGCCACCCTTCTCATCATCAACAATACAAAAACAACATCCCACCCCCCTGGCTGTGCAAAATCCCCTCAAGACCCCCACCGACCTTGCAACCACCCCGAATGCCAAATCGTTCTCACCCCCGCAGACAAGGCAAAGCTCGTCATCAGAAATCTAGCAGCGGAGCCCAACGGCCCGCGACTCTTCCTCCACCTCTACGCGATGGGATCGGCATGGGAGGTCGAAGACATGACCAAATCCAGCCGAGAGGTACTGCCGCCCGCGGGATCAGGAGGAGAAGGACACGAGCACCGAGCAAGCGGTGTGTTTCAGAGGACGATGCGGTTCTCGCTGGAGGATGGGCAGGAGGAATGTGAGGATGTGATCAAGGTTTTTGTTACGAGGGGGGTAACTTCTTTTGCGAGTTTGGAAATGGGGAAGTTGGGGGAGCAGGATGGCGGTGATGGCAAGCGGGTTGACGAGGATGGAATCCGGGGAGCGAAGGGGGATGTTGATGGGGGTGAGGAGGTTTGGGCGGCGCTGACATTTCGGGTGAGGGTTGTCAGGGAGGTAGGGAGCGGTTGAGGGAAAGGTTGGAAAGGGATTTTTTAGAGGGTGCCAGTGTGGCACTCCGTGTTAGAGGGAGGGGAGTGCTGCGAGCGACGATACCCGCAAGAACATCAATTGTCTGAATACCTACCTATTCACAGCCATTTCTTTACGAACGAAATACCAACTCAATTCTCCAGATGGCATTGACCACCTTAACACGGCTTCTGCGTTTCCAGCTTGCTCCTAATGTGGGGTCAGGGGTCCAACCCTAATCCTGCGGCGTGAGTCAACAACCAACCCAGCCCCACCCCTTTCCACACCACAGCATCCTTCACCGCTCCTCCACAAAATCCTCCCAAACAGCCACGCTTTCATCAATCCAACACAAGGATCGGTTCGTTGGTCTAGCGGTATGATTCTCGCTTAGGGTAACAACTCTGAGTAACAAATTTGCGAGAGGTCCCGGGTTCAATCCCCGGACGAACCCCACTTTTTGCTCTTTCCCTCCCTCCTTCCCTCCTTCCTGCCAGGCTCCCTCTTTCCTCTTCTCAGCTCTCACCGAATCACAATGGTCTGCTTCTGCTCAGCAGCCCACGGATCCTTCTGATCCATCACCGGGATGCCATCATACGAAACCCCGAGAGAAATGTGCTGCGCAAAGCCGATCCTGCGATACTCCCCGGGCTTGCCCGTCGACTGCATGACCAAGCCGTAGTAGAGCGACGGAAACAGGTACTTTTCGCCCATGCCGTTGACGCCGAAGCACCGCGTCAGACGCAGCAGATACAACTTGCCCGTCGAGCCCGTGTATGGCTTGTCGAACCAGACACCCCCGACTCTGCGCTGGTTGACGTTGAGGAGGATGTCAATCGTGAGGTTCCGCAACGGCATGATGCCTGAGACCTTCACGTAACTAGGGCTGCGCGGGTCTTGCCGCGGGTCGATCTGGAGCACCTTGCCCGTCAGCTGGATGAATCCGTTGTTCACCTTGCCGCACGGGTCGTGGGTCGACGACGGGGTTACCCCCGCCTTGACGATCTCGACATCCCGGACCGCTCTCGCCGTGCCGCCCTCGATGTCGTCCTGGTCGGGGAAGGACACCCGTCCGTCTAGCGACGCCCAGCTCCACGACGGTGCGCGGTAGTGTCCCGGGGACGCCAGCCAGTCGTTGTGCTTGCGCTAGAGCAGGCCCCATGGCAAGTGCTGCTTCTAGATACCGCCGATGTAACCACCCTTCGTCACGCCCTCCATGACGTGAGCGATACCAGACAACGCCGGCAGCCGGTCATCGCCGTACGTGATGCTGCGCGCGGTGAAGTCATGCAGCATGTCGTACCAGTTCCACCAGAACTTGTGCAGCGCCCCAGCGTCGAACTGGAGTCGTCCGTCCCAGATCCGGACGCCGGGCAGCGTCAAGGCATTCTCCGGCACGCCTGTCTCGCATCGACGCGCCCGGCGGCACTCCCACAGCATCTGCCCCTCGGTGTAATGAATCGTCCGCGGCGACAGGATGCGCTCCTGCAGCACCCACGCCCTCGTATGCAACGGCTGCTTGTGGAGGGACGCAAAGTCGGAGTGGCGGAACGTGACATACACGGAGCCAACCGCATTTCCAACGGTGCACTTCATCACGGATTTCGACTCGTTGTACTTGGCACGCAGGATCCCGCCGTTGCTGTCCTCGCTGTAGGCGGCCGCGATGGTCAGGTACGAGAAGCGGTACACGTTGCCCATCTTGGCGGCTTCCTTCTCCCAGTCGTCGGGCGAGTCCTGGACGATGCACAGCGAGCCGATCCACAGGTAGTGGATGCCCATCTCGGGGGTGATCTCGACGGCGTCGCGGAAGGTCCGGGTCAGCTTGGCGAGGGGGATGCCCTTCTGGTGCTCGACGTAGTTAGCCTTGAGGGTGCGGATCAGCTGGATTCGGCCCCAGCAGTGCGAGAGCGCCATGTAGTGCGCGGCTTGGCCGGGCTGTACGACCTCGAGGCGGACGAAGTCTTGTACGGCCTTGCCGACGTTGATGACGCGCGTGGGGAGGGGGCCTTTGGTTGCGCACTGCGGGTGGTTCGTCTTGCAGGCGTCAAGCCATTTGCGAAGCGTGGCGAAGGCCTCGGGCGAGTTGGCGGGTTGCAGCTTGCGGCCCATGACCATGGACTGCGGGATGGGCACGGAGGGCTGCTTCTTGGTGTCGGGGTACAGGTTGTAGTGGAAGGTGGCTTCGCCGACGCAGATCTTGATCCAGAAGATGCCGCCGGGGGGTTGCGTGGGGTTCTGGCCGGCGGCGACGAACTGGACGGCGCGCATGACGACGGGCTTGCCTTTGATTTCCTTGGGTTCGACGACTTTGTTCTTCAGCTGGGCGTCGACGGACAATGAGATCATCTTGCAGAGGTTGCATGTTGTCTTGCTGGCGCATTTTTGCAGCTCCTCGAGGGTGCTGTGGTGCGCGATGTCGCGGGCGTTCCCGTTGTTGCTGACGAAGTGCTTGAGGTCGAGGCCTTTGCAGGTGTCGCAGGGGGCTGAGGGCGCGGGAACCATTTTGCAGACTGGGAGAGATGAGATTTGTGGAGGGAGAGAAAGACAACTGGTTTTCGGAATATTAGGGGCTCCAACTCGCGCATCTTTCGGGTCTGTCTATATACAACAATCAAAAGGACCGCAACGCTCTGGTTGTTAAAGTCCAAATACGGCTGCCTACAGGCGCGGCCGCTGCATACAGGGGCCGAATCTTTCGCGTCGGCGCCTACCGCAACATCACAACCAACAGATACCGCTATTGAGACCGACATGGCCTTGGCCAGTCAGCCTGGACGCTACTAACTAGTACTAGCTGCCAATATCCGTCTAGCTCTGGCGAAGACTAGCCCTCGATCACACACGGACGATTTAGGACCTTGCAGCTGAGGTTGCATCGAACTGTTCCGTCATCACCCCATGTCTCACTTCATCCGCTATGAGGGCTGCGCCGAGGGGAGCCGGGAACCCTGCTGTCTGTCAGAGACGGGACGGTTGGTGAGCCGATTATTGGGGGGGTGAGATGGGGATGTGATGGGGGTTATCGTGTCCACGGGTGTTGATCCTCTGGAAAGGGTGTCTTGGCAGGTCGTTCTACACAGTAGGCATTTTGTCTAAACATTCTCCTGCCACTTGATTAGCGTGCTTATCTCTCTTCCTAAGAGGATTGCCCTATGCATATCCCCTGCAGGCGGGAATGGTGACAGGTAATTAAGACTAGGGCTGGCTGAAACATTGATCGGGGCTGAGTTGGCCTGGACTTGTACGCTCTGTCTTCGGCTTGTCAGGGCGGGTGAGGTACACAGGAATAGGGGCTGGTCCAATGGTCTATCTGAGACATGAATACGGGGACTTGTAATCCATGTTTGTTGCACGAAATTAGATTAGGCCCCTTGTGGGCGAAGACCTCATCGTTCAATTCATTCTAAAACCCCTGCCTGCTTTCGTCTCTCCAGAGACATTCCTCACATCCAGGTAATGTTAAAGACAAGAAAACCTAACAAAAGCAACAGACGAGCATTAATCTAGGTCATAGCAAGGGACGATAAATGCATACGAAGGGAGCTCCGGACCCTGTACTAGAGTCGAGACTGGTAAACGTAAAGGGTAGTAAAGAGCAGTGTTTTCGCTGGATTGAGAAAAGCGATGTGACCATTCAGCATTCATCTGCCCCGCTACCTTCAGATCAACATAATTCCGGAGCACAAAAGGACTGCCATTTGACTTACTGGGGCTTGGCACAGAGCCGAGACTGGATCGACATGCAATCAGAGGATGGAAAATCCCAAAGCCAAGTGCCATTCAAGGCAACCATGCAGCAAGGCTATGTCGAATGCGGAAAGAAGATGACTTTGTGGAACACATCAAAGAACAAATGTAGTCCCAATTGGTCGCCCGGTCAGTGAAGATTGGACCGTGAAGGGGGGTACTCGTAGGGCACCCTGACTTGATAGGACCCAAACTCCGACGGCTGAGATCCTTTCCTGCAAGATCTCATTCCTATCGCCTTCACTGTGGAGAATCATCTTCTACTTGAGTGAGAGAAATCAGGGAGGGGGTAACCAATTTTGCCTTTGCCAACAAAACTTGCTTGAGATCTTGACCGTTTTCGAGTTGAGGGTTCAGGCTTGGAAAGAGCGTATGGTTCAAATTGCAAGTTGGCCCCGCTCTTGGGCGAGTTTTCAGGCAGCTTGACCTGAGGGATCGAAAACCTCCGACCGATCCTTCCAGACCATCAAAAATGGACGACGTTGGAAATTACATGCCCCTAGACCCTTCGGCCTTGGAAATCAGACTTCTTTCCATCCACCTGCCGCAGGCCCCCGACAACGACGACGATCCCATCCATCTCACATTGGAAAAAGCATCGCTTCTTCAACCCAGCAGATACGTTGCCTTGTCTTATACTTGGGGTGACCCCTCTCAGACCAAAGAGGTCATACTCAACAACCGACGCCACCGGGTGACCGACAATCTCCACTCCGCGCTCCACCAGCTACGTGCGATCAATGGAAGGAGCGATGCCATGTTCGAAAGCGACGCGGGCGCGCCCCTGCACGGAAACAAATATTGGATCGACGCCGTCTGCATCGACCAAAGCAATGTTTCCGAGAAGAACTACCAGGTCCCGCTGATGACGCGTATATACCGCGGCGCGGCGGAAATCTACGTCTGGCTGGGGCAGAGCAATTGGGAGATTGACGTTTTCGGTCACTACATCCTCGCCGAGTCGGCAGACGAACGGGCCGCTTTGGTGGCTCGGTTCAAATCAAGCACCCAAACGAGACAGGAGGTCGCGGGCAGGATGGCCACTCGCTTTTGGGGCTTGCTTGAGAACGAGTCAGGCTCGGAATGGGAGAGCGCTTCGGACGACAGCGAGCCTGATGAGCTCGAGGAGCCTGACGAGGAGCCACACGGTGGAGTCGAAGACGGTGTTGCGTTGCTCCCTGCTGCTTCGACCTGCGTCTCTACCGACTGGCTGGAAAACACCGAGATGCCACAAGACGAGCTGTTTTTCCTGCTCCGCTGCGTTGCCTTTATCCTATTCAAGCCGTGGTGGCGACGGTTGTGGATCATACAGGAGTTCATCCTCGCTGACGACCCCCTCTTCCTCTGCGGCGGCTGCTTTTGGAGCTGGGGAACAATAAAGCCTTACATCAAGCATATCTCCGTGCAGGCAGAAACGCGGTTCTCGAGGGCGGAAATGGCGGAGATCTGCCACGATATCTGGGAAGAGGTCGACCAGTCCGCAGCTTTTGCGTGGTATCCATGGGAAGGGCCTGCAATGGATCACTTTACCAGCACCTTTGTGCACATCTTCGTCATGGAAGACTACCGCGCCTCTAAGAATCCACCAGACCTTCTGGAGGCTCTTATGATCACTCAGCACACACGCTTCACTGACCCCCGGGACAGAGTGTTTGGATTGATGGGGCTCATGAAGGAGACCGACCGGGCCAAGATCACAGTCAA